TAAGAAAATCAGCAATAGGAGACAAGATCGCAATTGGTACACGATTACTCACACAACATTGAAGGAGTCTCTGGAGCTCAAATCTTTTATCATGATCAGGAATAATGGATAGGGGTAGCCCATGTAAGCGAACTACTTTGAAGAACAGTTTGTCCATATGAGAAGCCTCAAGGATCTTTGCTCATGGTATGAAATGAACCATTTTATAAGACTGATCCACTACCACAAATATTGAATCATGGCTTCTAGTTGTTTTTGGCGGACTAAGTACAAAGTTCATGCTTATATCTGTTCATGGCTCATGGGGTACAGGCTGTGTTGTGTGTAGACTATTATGTTTCTAACCTTTGTTGATTTTGACAGACATGCCACCTAACAACTGTTCAAGCTACATTGCTTTTTATACTTGACCAATAAAATCGATCTTCCACCATAGCAATTGTTTCATCTCTTTCGAAATGACCAGCTATATCTCTTGAATGCAATTCCAATATTACTTCTAGGCGGAGAGATGTGTTGGATAGACAAAGACAGGTTCCTTTACATAGGTATTCAATGTGCAATATCAATTAGGTTCACACTTCCCACCAACTAGTCTTGATAAATTATGCTAAAATCCTCGCACGATGAATGATTTGTTTTAACCAAGTCAAATCCCATAACTTGGACAGCCATGGAGGTGAGTATGACGATCTTTCGGTATAATGCATCTGCTACTTGATTCTCAACCTATTGCTTATATTTGATTACAAAAAGCTACCCATCTTACATGATGGTGGCTAAGTTTCCTATGAGAATTGATATATTTAAGAACCTTGTGGTTAGAGTAGAGGACAAATTCTTTCTGAATTAGATAATAACACCATTGTCGAAGTGCTTGGATGATGATGTATTTTATTGTATGTGGTATGCCTCTGTTTTGTATCCGTAAGCTTCTCACCAAAGTAGGCTATTGGATGTCCTTCCTGACTAAGTAAGCTTCTTATACGTACTTAAGATGCATCATAAACACTTCGAATACCTTGGAGAAGTCTTGAAGACATAATACTAGTGCTTTTGTCAATTTCTTCTTGATGTTCTCAAAAGCTCTAGACACTATTTGGTCTAAACAAATTTTCCAATTCGTCTGTAATGGGTACACTATAGTGCTAAGATCTTTATTAAATCTTTTGTAAAAAGATACCAACTTGTGGATTTCGCACTTCATGTAAAATCTTGAGAGTTAGCCATTGTTGGAATTTAACCCTTTCTAAATCAACTTCTACTCCTTTAAGAGAAGACAAATTCCAAGAAAACAACATTAATTTTCATGAATCTGCATTTTTTCAGGTTAATATAGAGTTTTTCTTGGCAGATTAGTCTCATAACTTGTTGTAAATGAGAGATTTGTTCCTCCTTAAACTTACTGAAGATAAGAATATTATCAAAATAGACAACAAGAGATCTCTTGTAAAAAGCTTGAAAAACTTTATTCATGAAGCGCATGAAAGTATTTAGGGCATTAGACAGTCGGAATGGCATGACTAACCACTCATACAAGCCATCTTTGGTTTTCAGTAGTGTTTTCTATTCATCTCCAGGCCTTACACAAATTTGGTTATGTCCGCTCTCCAAATTTATCTGGGAAAAATATGTTCCTCCTTAAACTTACTGAAGATAAGAATATTATCATAATAGACAACAAGAGATCTCTTGTAAAAAGCTTGGAAAGCTTTAGTCATGAAGTGCATGAAGGTATTTAGGGCATTAGACAGTCCAAATGACATGACTAACCACTCATACAAGCCATCTTTGGTTTTCAGTAGTGTTTTTTATTCATCTCCAAGCCTTACACAAATTTGGTGATGTCCACTCTTCAAATTCATCTTGGAAAAATATGTTGAGCATGCCATGGATCTAGCATTTCATCAAGATGAGGGTATGAAAAACCTATACTTGATGGAGATCTTGTTGATTGTGTGACTATCAATGCGCATCCTCCAGGTCTTTTCTTTCTTGGTTGTGAGTAGCTGGCACAACACAGGAGGTTAAACTTCCTCGTATAAACCCTTTAGACAGTAATTCATCGACTTGTCGCTTACACTCAGCATGTTCACTTGGATTCACACAGTATGCTGGTAAGTTAGGCAATTAAGACCTCGAAACTAAGTCAATCACATGTTGAATGCTATGAAGTAGAGGAAGTTCATTTGACAAGTTTGGTGGAGCAATGTTAGCAAAAGTGAGACAGTAGGCTAGTCGCTTCTGTTGGTGTTGTTTCTGTTGAACAAGCTGCTTATTCTTTTAACTCCTTACTTAATATAGCATAAACAATGTTTGATTCTTTGTTTTCTTCTTCAAACTGTTTTCTTGAGAAAAAAATTAAGTTGTTTCTTTTGATCAGTTGTTGCAAATTTAGCAGTCTTATTGGCTTTGAAGTTTCGAATATCTTTTGTGATCGTGGGTTCCAAGAGAATATCTCTTTTCCCTATGGAAAAGTAATATGTGTTTTGCCTTCCATTATGGTGTATATTGCAATCACATCGTCAAGGGTGGCCAAGGAGAATATGAGTTACTTTCTTGGGAACAACATTTCATAGATGACATCTTCATATTTACCATATTGTAAAGAGACAAGACATTGTTGAGTTACCGGACTTATTATTTCATCAAGATATGCTACCCTGTATTATTGTGCATATTGTTTTATGGTAAGCTTTAGATATTCTATTGTTGAAGCTGATACTACATTCACACAACTCCCTCCATTGATGACAAGCTTTTTGGCTTTTGGTCCACAATGACAAGGGTTTAGAATATAGTAGTACGACGCCAATCTTCTTCCTCAATTCTAGGTGTTGCAAGTATGTCTGGCTACAGACACAAGGGAAGCATCCACTAGACAGTAGCCATCCGCTAAGTCATCATCGTCAAGGGAAACTTCATGATCCCTATCTTTTTTATCATCTTCCTCCATTCTAGTATGCAAGTCACTTTTTGGGGGGCGTTGATAACCCATATGGCCTAGCCTCCCCATCTGAAGCAAACTATTTATTTGCCTCTTGTTTTGGGAACTGATTTTTCCTGATTTGAAGTTCGTTGTGCAGAACCTGCTCACACATCGTAATTTGTTCTAGAGTTCCTCATAAGGGAGTTTCATGTTTCCTCGAAGTTGGATCTGACAGGTAATCTTCTATATGAAAGGGAGCTTGATAAGTTTGGGCTATAGTTACTGGAGGTCGTCGAATTAAGTCTCTTTAATATCAACTCTTGGTCCTGTCTTGAATTGAGATGTTACTTGACTATTATCTTTTCAACTAATTGACTTGGAATTTTTAATTCTTCAAACTTTTGTATATTCTCAGTTATCAACATATTACCCTGGATTAAAGTATAAAATTAGTCATGAAGTTTGTCAAAGTAGTTGGGAAGTAGATACTTTTCACGAAGAATAATTTTCATATCATCCCATGTTTTAAATTGTTGGTTGTCTTCAAATTATATTATATTTTGAGCAATAGTGAACCGCCATATGTTTGAAGTCCAACCATCTTCATCGTTTCAAATCAAACTCTTCGCGCATCTGGTATGTCATACCTGTTGAAGTATTCTTCCATTGATTAAGTCAATTGAGAAAGAAATCAGGATTCCTTCTTCCATCAAAACCAGGGGCTTCGACCTTTACCTTCTTTGTAATGTCTCCAGCATTATCCACAACATGTCTTTGAGCAGAGTGGAATGCTTGAACCACATGCAGATTTTAAATTAGATGACCTACTTGAGTTGTGTGTAGGTGTCTTGTTTCTTCCAAGATTGCTTTGATAAAGTTTTGCATTGCTTCCAATCTGGTATTAGTGGTTGCCTTAAGTGTCTCAAATTTAGTATTTAATTCAGCATTTGTCATCATTGCCGAAGCTGAATGTCTCTTAAAAAAGTTTAGTTAGGATAGGAAAAGATCGTAAAAGCCAAAACATAACAGAATGCACGAGGCTTACTCGCGGCTGGGCGTGCATGGGCTTCATGCACAAGCTTTTGGTCACTGGACGACGGTGGCCATTTGGCTGGTAGCTCACTGGAGGTGCTGAACTTAAATTGAGGCCGGTATAGGATCTGACGTGCAGAAGTGTGGATTTGCCAGAGGCAATGGCTATGGGAGCTTCCGCCGATGAGTATGGCAGTTTCGAGTCGAGTTTCATGGAGGGGCTTTGGTGCTCGATCCATCGGGCCTTTCTGGAGTTGGTGGTGGTGGCAGTCGACCAACTCCAACAGGTAGTTGCTGAACAGTGCTGGCAACTGTTTTAAGGTTTTTGAAATTTCTTTTTCTTGAAATAGGTTTAGGAGTCGTTTGGGTGTAGGGTTTTGAGAATATGTGGTGTAGGATACTTTTAATTCCACCAAATTGATGTAGGGCATCTTAGAGTTGATTTTTCTACTAAGAAATTGGGAAAAAAAATCTAGATTTCAAACCGAAGGTTCTTCGGTATCATACCTAAGGATTAATTGAATTACACAATCAATTATGAAAAATCTAAAAAAAATATTGTTAAATATTTGAATGACCAATAAATGAAATACAAAATTATTTCTAATAATCTTTTCCTAACTAGAACTAAACTAGAAAATAGAAACTAGTAAAATTAGGAATACTAAACTTAATAAGAATAAGAAACTAATATTAATAATATTAGAAATATTGATTCTAAGACAAATAGTAAATCATACTAATAAAAAATAAACTCCTAACTCTAATAAGACTTTTAATAATAGTATATCTTTCGTGCGATAACATCTTCATCATTGGGTTGTCAATTATTCGATGTCCTCCTTTGCGAGTCATTTTGCTGTTGAGCTGCTTATCAAATGCTTTCCTCGAGCACACAATGCCTAATTTTTTTTTTTATATTTCAAAACCACAGACAAAAGATCAATGCATGAGGCACACAGCCTACCGATTAAAAATGTAATAGTGTATCTTTATGATATGGAAAAAAAAGACTCATGTCTTTTTTCTTAAACTTTTGTTGTGGGAAAAATACACATGTTGGTGTATCTTTTTCAATAATTCTGCCCTTACCTTCATGAACTACATAGTCGCAGACACACAAGTGATAGTTAAGTGAATCTTTCTGATGCCAACTTTGTTGTGATCCTACAAACAGGAAAAGATTAAGTAAAGTTGGTCCTGTTACTGAATGGCTGTAGATATGTTTTTATCTTTGGATTTAAAGATGATTTAATTATGAATGCAGGAAATCAAATTCAGGTCAATCTGTCGCTTCTGTTCACGGTGCTGTACTTGCTTTGGTGGCTTCTGTGTTATCTGTTCCATATGACATGCCCAGGTATGCTCACATTTATTGTACATATACTTCGGTAAAAAAAAAAGTTTATTAGTAAGATTGAGAAATTACAATCTGAAGTAGTATTAGTGATCCTCCAGAAAGAAAATAAGAGAAGAGATTAAAAAAGGCAGCAAAAAAAGTAATATATCTGCATCAATATAAAAATTGCATCTGAATTCCTTTAGAATGTGTAAAGGAATCCTCCTAAAGGAATTGTGTGCTTTTGGCAGGAGAAAGGCAAAGTACACTTTCCTCTCTCCAAGATCCTCATTTGAATAAGAATTTTTCTTAAAAATTTCTAGCGTTTCTCCCAAACCAAAGAATCCAATATTATTTATTTCCGGAAGTACAATTTAATAATTTAGACTGTTTGAGCAGGATTTTTATTTTTTTTTCAGTTAGTCATGTAAAATTTGGCAAGCTGGACGAAATACCAGAGGCCGTTTGTTTATCTTTTTATTTTTGGATATGATATTTTTAAATTATGCTTGGTTTCACATGTGCAGACCATTTATATTGAGTGCTATTCATAATAGCACAAGTCAATAGTACTCATATTCTGATCCTATAAAAAAAGAAGTTTCCTGAAAGGCAAGGTTTTATTCAACAAGAGCGTGGTATAAAGTGGGTGTGCTTGGATTATCATGCGAACGTTTTTTTTTTTTTTTTTGAAATAGGATTATTAAAGTATTGGTTTCGTCGATATATTCATGGGGGATTTGAGGTGAAATTTTTGGATAACTGAAGTTCCTAATAACCAATCAAATAATTTCAGTGGGGAAGATCTTGAGGGGTGATTTGCAATTTGTATGAGACAAGTTGATGTAAGAAGTTGGGTTACTGAACTTTTACGTTCATTCAACAATGTTTGCCATTTTGGAAATATGATACATTTAGAAAATAGAACTCCAGAGAAAAGATACCATAGTAGCATTGTTGCAGTCAAGAAAATTCACCTTTTCTGGCACTACTTCAACACCACCATGATTAGATCTGAATTACCATCTGGCAAGTTGGGGAAATTAAGGCAAATGGAATTTTTTCACATCCAAACCGGAGTGTAAATGGAATTTTGGTTGCTTTGCTAGTTGTTGTATCTTGTTTTTTCAATGATTGATTTTGCATCTTCATTTTCTCTTAAAGTTATGAATTGCTTTCATCGGTCCTGGCATTTCTCAGATTATAATGAAACGCTAATATTTCAGTGGGAGTAATATATATTTTTTGTATTCCACACATTAGTTTAGTGCTTGTACTTACATGTTACTTTTGAGATCAATGTCAGATGGTTGCCTGATCACATTACATTACTGGCTCGTTTTGCTGGGGAGCCATCACCTGTGAAATCTACAGTGACAAAGGCAGTTGCGGAGTTCCGGCGTACCCATGCGGACACATGGAGTCTTCAGAAAGATTCATTTACTGAAGAGCAACTTGAGGTAGTTCCATGCAACTCAGTCTACTGTATATTTTAGCTTTGTGTTAGATAATTTGGTGAATTGTTTAATTTTAATAAGTTTCTTGAATTGGTGCTTTCAGGTCCTGGCTGATACATCCTCATCATCATCATATTTTGCATGATTAAGATACTTCTATACTGTAAGAAACAGTACAGCAGAAACACAATGATTGATAGCGAGAATTATATTTTTCCTTGTGATATTTTTTCATAAATCTTTAAAAAATAGTTTTATTTACACTTGTGTCATACGGTTGCCTTAAGAAGTTTATTGCTGCCCGGGAAGTTAGATTTCTTGCCTGCTGAGTTGTTTACGAAACCCTTAAAGCATAGGATTCATCAAATCATCTGATGGTATGTCCCACAGGATGCAATCTGTGTTGAACAGGCTGGTCCGGTTCCTGATTTCTTTTCCTCCGTCTGACTCATGTCCATTTTCATCCTCCAATTTTTCTTGCAACTGGCCTGTTTGTTCCCCTGGTGTGCACGTGCTTCCAGTACACATACTCTGGCTCCATGGTGATCCAGCCCCTTCGTTGCCAAAAGCTGGTGGGCCATATTGGAATCCAGTAACGGATGCAGGAAACACACTGCAGGACCCTGCAAAATTCATGGATGTTGGTCCAGTGGAGTCCCATATCTTGTTGGAGGGTAGGATGGCAGGCTCTTGTATGGCTCTTGATATGTTAAGCTTTATCTTCTCGATGGTATCATCTTTTTCTTCTTGTTTGTTAGTAATGTGGGGAGTTGCTGTGTTCCCTGGGGTTGCATTTGACTGTTGGAGTTGGAAGTCAATGCGCTTCTTGGTAAGGAGGTGGAGCATTTCATCTTTGAAGCAGCCAAGAGCTGCTTCTGCAAGGTGAGCCACCTGGGGTGGAGCTAATGTGGTGGCAATCTCAGCCATGAGGTGGGAAAACGGCTTGTGGGTGACTGGATCGATACCCATGCCTGAAAGCTTCTTTTTTAGTTTGGTGTTCCAGTGATTTTTAACGTCATTGTCTGTACGGCCAGGTAGCTGAGCTGCAATTAATGACCACCTGCGTTAGAACATTGAGGTATCAATCAGTTAACAATTAGTTAACATTTAACTGAATTAGAATATTTATTAGAAACTAATTCAATAAATGAGATGATGATGAAGTTGATACAGAAGGCAAAGGGTTAAATTGTCTATGCGTTCCTTGGGTGTTTTTCTTTTTGACATGCTATTATAGTTTGGAAATGGTGATCTGTCTTGCCTACCGGTTTCCAACGACAGAGTGCAGTTTCACAATGATTTGTTCTTCGCCATCAGAGAATTGGCCGTGCTTAAGGTCAGGGCGAAGGTAATTTGTCCACCGCAGCCTACAGCTCTTGCCACATCTTTGGAGACCTGAAAGAACAAACCGTTAGAGTTAATATGTTAAGTTATCAATTACTTTTCAATAGGATTTTAGGGAGAGGGAGGAGGGAGTATTTTACCAGCATTCTTGGGGATAAGGCGCCAGTTACGGGTTCCATGTTGGGCAATGTAGGAAGAGAGCTTGTTGTCTTCCTCAGGTGTCCATTGCCCTCTCTTCACATTGTCTTTCTCACAGCATGGAATCCGCCCCATCTCAGGGTCTTTTTTTTTTTTTTTTTTTTCCTTTTTATTTGGTGTTTTTAGGGTAAAGAAGAAAGGAAGAGTATAGAATAAGAGACGGTAGTAAAAGAGAATTTTATAAATTTTATTAAGCTAGTCTTTTTGGTTTTGGGATGAAATAAAGGGGAAAAAAGAAGTAGAATGAAGTTGTTATGGGAAAATATTGTAGAATATGATGGTGAAGTGAGAAAAGAAATGGGAAAGGGTTATTGTTATATACGAGTTTTGTTGGTGATAGCATCAAAGGTGCATGATTTTATTAAAGAATTCAACGCCATTGAGAGCGTGAGAGATTGGCCGGTAGCTCACCCACAAGGCGCCCGGTCAAAACTCTCTTTTTGTTTCTGGTTCTCTCCTCTGGTTGACTTCCTCTGTGAGCTTATGCAATATGATGTGATCTTGGTCGCACAAACACACGCACGCACACAGAGGGAGCAAGTTTTAAGGTTGTTTGTTTCTCTCCCACGTGTGGGGTCGCAGCATGCATGCACATGGTGCCAAATCATATCAAAGTTGTGCAGGAAGGCCGTGCCATGCCAGTTCCATGAGGAGTCTCCGGGAGAGTGCTTTGTGTTAATCTGTTCCTCGCTTGAGCTGTCTCTCAGCCGTAGGTATTGTTTTGTGTAGTTAGTGGCTTAATAATGGCCAGATGTTACGTTACAATATGAGTACCATCTAGAAAAATAGTGAATGTTAAATTATTTATTGCTTTTCGAGGAAAAGTATAAATTAGTTACCAAAAATACTGGTTTCTTAAAATAGTTTCTGAACCTACTCAATTCTAATGCCTGGACAAATTTTGGAGTAAATTTTGCATGCACAAAGTTCTGGTTAATGTGTATACACATTCTCCATGTGTTTTACTAATTTATCTATTACTCAACTATGAAACAGAAAAAAAAAGACAAATATTTTTTATAATCTGATAATATTCTCATATCAATTTGGCACTTATAAGCCCTTGAACTGACCCAATTAAACGTAGTAGGGTTATAATTAAGCAAATACAGCTAAATGTTCTAAGAATAATCCATTTTCTTGTCCAAGGAGCAATGTTGTTCTGCACAAAGTACATCTCCACCGGGAAATATATAGTTAGAGGCCGAAAGTTCAAAGCTCCTAGCACTCCCAAAACTTGGTTGAAGTAAGGGAAGATCATTGCAACTGCAGTTGTCGATGCAACGTAGATGGTTCGATAGCATAGATTGAAGAGGTTCATCTGAAAGGATGGTAACCCTGGGAGCTTGATGCTATAGAACTTGTTTACAAATCTGCTTTCTGGGGAATTTCTTTACAGCCCGTCTTTCTATTGATGCAAATACTGGCTGACTATTGATCTACATAGACATGAATTAAAGAGGTCGATTAGGGATATTTCCAGCTTCTCTCTAGATTAAATTTCTTTCTCAGATGATTTAATGATTTATTCTTATCACGTGAAGATTCACATATGTGGGTTAAATATTATACATGATGTCAGAGCTTAGAGCAATAATTAGTTATTGGCAGGGAAAAGAAAATTTCTGAGCAAATTGGGATGTATTATACCTGATATCCTCTGATCAAATGAATAACGATGCATATATTAGCAAAGTCGATAAGTCAGTAAGGCTCCTAAAATCCGAATCCAGTCAAGATATTTCCAGGCGTAAGGCTGCCGAAAGCTGCATATCCAAAGCCTCCACAGCATAGGTAAAAGAAGATGGTAATAAAGATTGCAAGCACTGAAGCCTTCTTCATGACTTTGTTTTCTGGTGGAGTAGATTTCAGAGTATCATTCAATCAAGAAAATCAACCATTATATATAGTTTCAGTTTTTTCTGCTGCTTTTCAATGTTGGATTATGCTGTCCCTAATAAAATATATACATATATATATATATATATGTTATAGTTAAAAAGATGGGAAGCTTATACCTGTATCTCTAGAAGGATAATTGAATATGGATAGGCAAAAGCAATATCTCCAAGTGCTTGGAATATTAACCATAATTTGTTTGCAGTAGAAGAAGCCGGAACTCCAGTTATGTTCCCCTTAATTCTTCCATTTACTGCATTTACAAACGTGAAATTTAGAAAGTAAAGAAACTGACACTATATACATATATATATACACACATAAAAGGATTTTTGTATATGTCTCTGGTGAAGGAAATCATGAGGGAGATGTTGAATGACAGACTTATACTTACTTATAACTTGTGCCAAACCAAGTCCAAGTCCAATGAAGGAGTACGCAAAAGACATGATTGCTGCAATAGCTGATAGCCGCTGGATGTTATCAGGAATCTGTGACATCACAACCTGAGTAAGTCCAAACACCACCATATAAACGGTGCTTCCATAAACACATGGAGCCTGATGGCCTTCTCTGTGGTAGCAATTGGCCCTTTGAATTGCTCTGCAAACACCCAAACCAAAAAAAGAAACAACCATGTGAGAAAGCCTTCCTCAAATCAAACCAAAAATCAACAAAGAAGTTTGAGCAGAAACATACAAAAAAGAAAGTTCGATAAGATTACAGTGTGAGCTTTTTACAAACACACAGAGTTAATTTAATGTTAAATCAGGAGTAATGGGTTATAATAATATAAAGAAAGAAACCAAAAATCATCATCTTCCATCGTCGAGTACCTCATACTGGTTGAAGTGGTAATAACGTAGGCTACACCAAAACCATACACGCTCCGATTCTGAAGGAACCCACAGAACCATTCCTGCTTTCTACCTGATAAATTTTTACCCAATTAGGATTCAGAAAACCAGACAAACCTAAATTTTAGGAAGAGGCTAAAGAAGATGAAGAAGAAATTTCACCCTTAAGAAAGACCCTAACTGCTTGCATGTAAGAATAGTTTCGATCCCCAGTGACAGGGTCAGGAGACCTATAACAATCAGCAAGAAGAAAAGAAGAAACGTAGATAACGATCGCAAAACAGAGAATAGCAACCGGCCCTTCGATCCAACCAAGCTGCGCAGTACTCCACGCCAGCGACAGCACGCCGGAGCCGATAACGGCAGTGATTATATGAGCAATGCAACTCCAT